CCCAGGGTAGCTATGTAGCTGTGGTTTTCAAGCTAAATTCAAGGTGGCCTGAGACCACGGTTTGCTGCCCTAAAACACTGTGTTCAGGCCACCTTGAAAATAAAGGTGTAGTTGGCACATTTCCAGGTATAGACACCCAGGGTAGCTATGTAGCTGTGGTTTTCAAGCTAAATTCAAGGTGGCCTGAGACACGGTTTGCTGCCCTAAAACACTCTGTTCAGGCCACCTTGAAAATAAAGGTCTTGTAGCTACAATTCTGTTCCCAGGTATGGCGCGCATGAGGCTTCAAAGCTGTGGTTTTGAAGATAAATTCAAGGTGGCCTGAGACCACGGTTTACTGCCCTGAAACACTCTGTTCAGGCCACCTTGAAAAGAAAGGTGTAGTTGGCACCTTGCTTGCAGCTACCAGGTATAGTACTTCAAGTTCCCTTTCCGTCAACCGCTCGATAGCCTCTACACACGCACAGCAATCCACAGCTTTGAAGTCTCATTCGTGCTTTGAACTTGTGTAGGTGTGTAAGAGGTCTCACGGCCGCCTCCACCTGGCAAATGCCAAGCGGAGCTGCCGTAGAGAAATGAAAGAAAATGGAGTGGGATGGTGGATCTAGGGTGCAGACCTACCTTTCTATCCTATGCTTCGACGCGCAGTTCTCGAGAAAGGGAAGCGCTGGCTTTCGTTTTGCAGCTTCTCAGGTGGTTGTTGCTTATTCTCAGCAATTTATATAGAGGGAAACGGAGACAGACACAGATTGAGCCGGCTTGCCAAGTCAACCTGCGATACCGACTTGACCACGGCTACGAGTGCAGAGGCTGCGGCAGAGGGTTTCCACTTGCTACTTACTGGAGGAAGCAATAGCAGAATGTGAGTTCCATGCTCATAAGTTCATCGGGAAGAACAGATCAGGGACATCCCAAGCGGATCCAGACATGGAGATATGCAGCCACTCGAAAGTGCATCATGCGCAATCACATGCAGTTTCACTTCACTGGACTCGACCATTTCAGTTTGGTGGAACATATGTCCCATGTCAGGCGAGCTGTGCAAAGGTGCCAGCCTCCATGGTCGGACCACAAGCTCGACGGATTAGCCGAGGCAGAGCCATATCATATCTCAACAGTTAACTCCGTAGCAATAAAGAAAATACAGAAGAATCTAATTGCAATGGCCTCCGACTTAATAGCGATGGCCTCCCCCTACTAGCGATTGCTTCCAACCTATGGTAATTTTTCATCACACACGTTGGCAATCAATTGCCCTACAGCAGAGTGGCAATTTGTTGCATAAGAGAACGAAGTCATAAAGAGAGGAAAGCAATTGTTCTTTCTGGGTGTTGCTGCGATGCTTGTTGTTCCACTTTAGACATGTGCCATGTGATGTCAATAGTAGCGATGCTTTTCAGGGCGGAGTGTCAGCTGCAGGAGTCTCCAGGAGCCTAACTGAAACCCAAAAGCCTTCCCTTTATTATGAATCGTAATGGCATATCACTGTGGAGGTCGTCTTGCAGCGGGGCAGAAGGAAACTCCTTCATCATGGACTAGCCAAAATGTAATTTTACAGTATATGACACCTGAAGAAGGCCAGATAGAATTCACATGCCTCTTGTACTGTAGTAATGCAGCAGCCTTCATGTAAACTGCTTTTGAGCAATTGTTTGCTGTGTTTGTCCAACACGGTGAACACTTGTCGTTTTTCCAGGTCGGCAGTGGTTTGGTTGTTCCAAAGTGGGAAAGTATGACAAAGTCCATTCTTGATGGTAATAACACTCGCTGCATTACAACTCTTGCGAAGTTGATGCAGCCGTTGAACTCGCCGGGAATGATAGCTTCAGGATGGGTTGGCGATGTGGCATGTGATTGACAAAACCTCATTTTGAAGGTGTGTGTGTGTGTCACCCCCTGTACCAAAGGGTCCAATGCCACCGTTTCCATTACCACCACTTAACAAGGCAGGGGGCCATCCCCCTCCCCAGTGGCGGATGGCCAACGAAGAGGCCACTGGGGGGGGGCTGCAAATGTACCTGCCGAACTGTTGTACAAGCTGTCACTCCACTCTTTCTTTGTTTGTTTCCATGGTGGTTCATGCTACTTCCCCTAAACCCTTTCCCTTGCCGCTCGCGCGTGTCGTCGTCGCACCACTGCAGATGAGAAACTTCAATGTTAAAACACCTTCAAGTCTTTGGACCTTTCACCATGCCGTTCCATCGCCTTCCTTCTCAACGTGGGAACTGAGTGTAACTGAAAACCAATGTCAGAGTGTGTTCCGCTCAGCCGTCCCACTCGGGTGCTGAGTGTGATCCCCGTCACTGGGGCGCTGAATTCATGCCGGAAGTCGTGTAACTGAGCTTTTCCACTTCTCACAGGAATTCACCACTTGATCAACCTTAACTGAATTTACTGCTTCCAAGGCCGCTGGGCCAAAAAACGGGATTCTCTCAGTCTGCCACATGCCGCTAAGTATTCACCAGTCCATGTCACTCTGCTAAGTATTCACAGGCCGGACGAATTAATCGTGCGCCCCCTCCCTGCCCCTGGGCCTCCTCTGCTATCCCACCCGCTACTGAGCAACAGAAGGAAATCGCACTCAACACACTTGTGTGTGTTGGTGCCTTTCCTTCTGTTTCTCCTAGTCTATTGCTAGCTACCCGGGCGGTTTAAGACGAATGTCCCGCTCGCAAACTACTTTCGTTTAACTAAGTGGGCCTCGTAACTACACCTATCTTTCTTGCTTGCCCTCTTAGTCTGCTTTTGTTTTGTTTGCTTTGTCTGTCTTTCTTTGGCTTTTTAGGTGACTAATAGTTTTTCGCTGTGCCAACAATTGGCGCTTTCTGTACATATGTTCCCCGGGGAGTCAGGACGCTACTGGAGGCCCCTGGCCTCACTACTACTTTGCTAGGGGAGACCGCGCCGAATACGGCTATGTGTGTGTGTGTCACCCCCTGTACCAAAGGGTCCAATGCCACCGTTTCCATTACCACCACTTAACAAGGCAGGGGGCCATCCCCCTCCCCAGTGGCGGATGGCCAACGAAGAGGCCACTGGGGGGGGCTGCAAACGTACCTGCCGAACTGTTGTACAAGCTGTCACTCCACTCTGTTTCCATGGTGGTTCATGCTACTTCCCCTAAACCCTTTCCCTTGCCGCTCGCGCGCGTCGTCGTCGCACCACTGCAGATGAGAAACTTCAATGTTAAAACACCTTCAAGTCTTTGGACCTTTCACCATGCCGTTCCATCGCCTTCCTTGTCAACGTGGGAACTGAGTGTAACTGAAAACCAGTGTCAGAGTGTGCTCGCCAAGGCTCCACAATTTGTATCAATTTATTTTACATGCGTTTAGTCTAGTCTTATATAGTGACATAGTGCAGGTGAAACAGGTTAAACACATTCATTTCAGGGTTTCCTATCGTCCTAATTTGTCCTCATCCCTGCAAACCTCCAGACTCAAACCGTGATGTCCTCGTCATGGAAACGTCCTGGCCCGCAAGTCCTACAGTTCGTTGACTGAACTGGGGTTGGCCCTAGCCCACCTAGTTGGAAAATACTGTATCCCAAAGGCTCCAGAAGCCCGTTATGCACCCAGCGGCAGGTTCGGCATTTGACAGCATTGAGGACTTTGCCGAATGGTTGCCAACACCTTGAATGTGAAGTTAGACGAAGTTAGGTTGATCAGCCTCAGGCCACTGTAGGGTTCAGTGTCAATCCTGGTTTTTCGGATCTGCCAACTGTCTGCCTCGCCAGCAACTGGCTTTGGCCACCTGGTGATGGATGTCCTGATGCTCGAATCGATTTTGTAGTAGCTTCTTGAACAGTTTTGGTCACGTCTCGACGCCGCTGAAAAGCGCGTTATTCTTTACTGCTGTCGAACTGACTACACGGTGGAGGATTGACCAAGGGAGCAAGGCTGCAGCTGGCATCTCCGGTCATGTCTGGAGGTGCTGAATCATCAAAAACCAATCACCATCGATCACCTGATTCTCAGCATTGCTCCTTTGGTGCACCTTTGCCCATCTTTAGTTAGTCTCTTTGTTTTCCTTCCTTGCACATGGCACCCTCCGCTCAAACTGTTTAGGCCAAGTCCTACTCACCACGATGCCATTGTTGAATCTGCGCTTGTTCATCTTGGATGGAGGGAGCCTCATTTGGGATGCATCTTGCCAGTGAGAGCAATGTGCAGCCCTCCTGTGTCACCTGATGTTCTGTCACGGCTGAACGCCGCAATTCGTTGTTTTAAGTCTGACAAAGTGCAGCTGAGGCATCTGTCAGCTCCAGCGAAATCCGATCTGTTACTGAGTATGCATGAGTATGCCATATACGCCCAATACGCCCAATACTACAGTATCAATACTTGTTTGTGGGTCCTATTCGCAGACGCGAAGCCATCAAGATTTCTGGAGCCTGCAGAACTCGCATTGCCCATGCAACAAAATTGTGGCAGATTGTGGCAGCAAAGCCTCGTTGGGCAGATCTCACAGTCAAGCTGTTTGTGATGGTTTATCAGGCTACGCCTGTCACCAGGCATTGCATGTCAGAATCAAGTCAGGTTTGCGGTTTGCTTGAGAAAGCCAGTGGCCAGTCCGCATCTGAACTTATTGAATGTAATTAATTATTAGGCGCTGTCAAATTTGGACATATTTATATAGTCTTTAGATCTATGTATATATATATATATGCTAAATCCATCAGTTCAAGGCATCGACTTTGCAATGCCTCTCGTTGCCGCTCTACTTCGATCGTTCACAACTGGCCATGGGCCCGCTTGAACGATTAGTGTCACTGGGCAATGGCGGCACTCCACATGAGGCGCTGAAGCGCCTTGAAAACGCACTCTCTTTAAGACGCACCCCTGTCTCAGCACTCTTCCTCTTAATCAAGGGGGTTTTCATGGTGCCAGGTCCGCAGAGTCTTGGACTCCGAGCTGCAGACATGGACCACTTCCCCGAGAAAGGCGAAAGCCGTCGAAAGTACCAAAGCGATGCGAGTGATGCGAGGAGTGGCACCCTTGACTCAAGATGCAGCGCACAATCCATGAAATACTGATAGAAAAGAGATGCAGAGAGGGCTTTTGGTGAATGACTTCGCATATCACCGCCATGTGTTATGACACAAGTGAGATGCACGAATTGTTTCGAGAACTTAGGAATGATAATGGTGGAGACTATGTTTGATATTGTGTTATCAACTTGTGTTATCAACTCATTTCAGTTTGGTGGACGTTTTGGACTTGTCGCGACAGTGCACATCACTGGAACATGTTCCCGTCCAACTGCAGCTGCAGCTGCGGGATTTATATACAGTAATACATTAATCCGTGTTTTGCACTCGCTAGGCCACCATGTTTTTGAGCACCCTAGCGCAGAAGAAGCATCTTGGTATGATCTTGGTACGGGTGCGTGTTAGTTCTCACCGGCAGATGGAATGCCTCCCAGTGTGAAGGCAGCCTGAGCAAGCTTTTAACAAGATTACGCGGAATCATGTGGAAGATTCTGTGCAAAGTCTTAGGAAAGAATTAGCAAACATTAGCGATGCTGAGTTGCTGGTGTCCAAGGTTTCCCGACTTGGCTTTGAACGTTGTGGACACCATGCAGCTTGTCAGAATGTCAGGCCGCCTCTGACACTTCGGTAAACAAATGCGCCACTTGAAGCCAATTCTTGCTAAGTTTCTTGCTACACAGAATGCCGTCCTTGATTCTTCGCCCGTTCGGTCCCAATCTGCAAGTTCACCGAGGAGAGCGACTGCTGTGGAAGTGAATTCTATCCATATAAGTGACCCGCTTCAAGTTCAAGAGTATGCTGAACTTTGCAGTCCTGTCTTTTGCACAGTAAACTCAGTAAACTTCCGCTGCAGCTGAACATGCGACAGGATTCTTGCTGAGCTACAACTTTCTTAAATCAGGGATGTACTTTTGCTGAATAGCAGGTTGCAATTTTGGCGTCTAGGACCTCACATGTTTCGATGTGGGCTGAGAGCTGGGGGTGAATATGGGGGTGAATCCCACGCCAGTCCAGAAGCTATGGGGCCTGGGTGTTTTTAACGGACTGTGACCGACATGCTGCAAGCCGTTGTTATTTCCACTAGGAAATGACAGGACCTAGGTCCCCTAGAAGATCAATTTTATCTAGGCAGCTATTTGTACACACATGGTTGATGCCCTAGCATTTTCTATGAAACTTGCAGATTGAACATCTCGCGGATGCATTTTTGCATTCTCTAGCAGTTAAGTAATTTGAGAGTGATGATGATAGGTGATTGTCATTGGGTTTTGCATTTTCTAGGAAGCTTAAGCAACCTGCCATGGGCAGGTGCAGTGGTGGGGGCTGCAGCTCGATCTGCTCGCTGGACTTTGGCTCTTTGGTTGTTGCAAAGTCCGGAGCTCTTGGCGGATCCCAATGTGACTTGGCAGCTCGGAAGCTGGGACCGGCTACGATTTTAATGATTTACTTTACAGGACCCTGGGAATCCGCAAGATGCATCAACATGCAAGGTTTTTGCCTGGAATGCTGGCATCAGTGCTTGTGAAGCAGGCATGGTGGACAGTTTTGGTCCATTGCCATGCCTTTGCTGCATGACCAGAGGTGAACCTCTCTGAGAAGAAGGAGTTTCCCAGCAACATACCTACAGTATCCTACAGTAATTGGTTCGCCCACCTTTTTATGCAGCCGTAAACTGCAGTAGGAACAAGAATTTGCTGGTCGCTAGCTAGAGGAACTCTTAGCTCTGCCCAATGCATGGGACCAACTGCCACTTCAGATGCTTCAGGAAATTGATCTCATTGACCTGAAACACGACCTCTGCAAGAACCTGGATTCCAGCTTCCAAACCGCCACTAGAGTCACTAGAGGGTGAGAATTGGATCGGCAGGCAAGGAGTGGGAACGTGCCCTGTTGCTCTTCGAGTCCATGCCTGCAGCGGGAATTGAACCAGATAAGGTCAGCCGCTTGTCCGGAAGGCTCCCATGGAGGTTTTGGTGTGCTTGCATGTTTATTTGGTACTTTTGCATGCTCTTGCCTTGAACTGCCATGCGCTGTCAGCAGGGCCAACCAAACTTTGACGCAAAAGGATTTGGCCTTGGCCTTACTACTAGGAGCAAGGACGCTACTAGGGGCTCCTGGCATCGCTACTAGCAGCAAGGACGCTACTACGGGCTCCTGGCCATACTACTAGGAGCAAGAAGCTACCGTGAAGGATCTCACCTGGGACATCGCCGTATCGCTAACATGATATGCCAGCGTATGAGGCAGAAATGCCGCAATCAGTGCTTGCAAGAGTGGGAGCAATTGGCAGCTGGCCGTTAATTTGCTTAGGCCAGGCGTACTGCCAACGTGGAGATTGCTTTTGTATGACTAGTATTTCGTAGTATTTCGGGAAGTGGTGTTGCGCTAGGGTCCAGAGAAACCGCGCTTTCTTTGACATCAGGAGTTTTGACTCGGCAGATGTGATTAGTTTTGGTGCTGCAATCACCGCTTGTGAGAAGTGTGGGATGTGGGAAGAGGCGCTGTCCCTGGCGGAAAGCATGCAGGCTTGCTCCTTGGTACACCTGCAGAATCCCACACACAGGACCTAACCATAAGAAACCATTCCCTTTGGACATGAGGACAATTTGAGGGGCCTGCGGCATACCTAGGCCAGGCGGATCTCCTTGGATTTGGTGTGCCCCTTGGCTTCAGAGCTGGTTCTCACTGGCGCAGCCAAAACATGACCTGCAGCCGAGGCTACAATGCTATGATGAGTGCATGTCAAAAAGGCCAGCAGTGGCAATGCACCTTAGGCAGGGTCAAGCAGAATTGTGTATGACTACCGAAGATACCTGGCCTCCTTTGCTGGATGTTAGTCTAGATTCTAGATGTTGTCCGGCTGCAGGCCTCCTATTTCGGATGCCACTTGCTCGGCTTTCCCCAGATGTGGTCTCCTTCAATGCAGCAATCACCGCATGTGAGCAGGGAAGTCAGTGGCAGCTGGCCTTATCTATATTGACGCTTGGTGAGGAGCTTCACCAAAAGTGCAACAGGTGATGATTTCTGCAGAAAACATGTGATGTATTGTTTTTGCCAAGCACTTGATTGTGGAGACAAGATGTTCGCAACATTTGCCTTGAGGGCTACTATGCCAGCATCACGGATTTCACCAGACCTAATGACCTTCAATGCCATGATCAGTGCTTGTGCCTCTAGCGCCCAGTGGGAACTTGCTTTGAGTACCTTGAGGGAGGCATCAATTCAATACATGCCCGACACAATCAGAGCTTTGGCATCACCAGCTTAGCATCTTTCCCAAGGTCCACTTACCTGTCACGGTTTAAGTTGTGCAACATGAAAATGACCACCATCAAGTCTTCAGTGGGCTTATGACATAGACTGTTCGCACTACGCACCAATGAGGAAAGTCAGTGCATTTTGTCGACCTAGGTTTTAGCGCTGCCATTACTGCCCTAGAGAAGGGCTGTCAATGGGAGATGGCTCTCAATATCTTAAGAAGAATGCCGGAGGCGGCTTGTGTTGTGGGACTTCAAGCAGTGCACATCTTCTTCAGCGACACAGACAAGGATGCGTAGAATTAAAAGAAGTGAATTTTAGTGTATCAATGCCACACACACATATATATATATACTGTGTATATATATATACACATGTTTTATTGGTGTGTGGGATGTATGGATTATATAGGTCTAGGTGCCTGAATGTATGAATGTTATGCAATGTAATGTTGCAGATGGATGGATGGATGGATGGATGGATTGTATTGCATATATGGTATGTATGGTATGTGTGGATTGATGCAATGTATAGTGACGGACATAGGCTTAGAACATTATTTGGAAAAAATGAAACGCTCAAAACAGCCGAGGAGCTTGATACATAGAACATTGCAAAAACACACTCTTAGAACAAAAAACCTGAGACACTTAGAACACATTCTGCACATTCGGAATATTGTTAGATGTGGGTAAGTTAATCTCCTATCAAATGCAAGGGGTTGAGGCAATGTTTTCGTTTTATGGGGACTGCTTGTCCCCGTATGACCCTTGGGGTGGCTACCCCACTTGGTTGAAAAAGAACATGCTTTTGACAAAAGCCTTTTGTGATCTGCAGCACTGCAGGGTGCAGCAGTAGACGGGTGCCGCAATGGCTTGCCTGCCACCTATGCCGCCCCCGGTAGGTCCTCCCCCAGAGGAATTGCCGGCTGGTGTGACGGAATTCAAGTATGGGAGGCTTTGCTGCACAAGCAAACACAACATATTGATTATTTATATACAAGGATAAGAGGGTATATGTTGACACCTTCCGTCTTTATATAAAAATCCATTTGGGTGTCTAATGTTCTAAGTGTACATTCCACAAGCAAATATGTTCGATCACCCTGCTGAATTGTGAAACTATAATATAGCAAACACAGGTGGATCCAAAGTTGAAGGCTAATAAAACTTGTCCAGCAATTCATCTGTCTCAAAGAAGCTGAAAAACATAAAGGCCGCTCACCCGTCTTTATACAAAATCCATTAGGGCCATTAGGGTGTAGAGTTGCAATGTTCTAAGTGTGCATTCCACAAACCAAATATGTTTGATCACAATGTCGAACTATTAAGCTATAATACAGCCACCAACATAGGTGGATCCAGAGTTGAAGGCCAATATAACTTTTCCAACTTCTCTCAAGAAAACGTTGAACGACATGACATACCTTCTTATCTGGTTGTGGGGTTCCATTGTTCTAAGTGTTGCTTTCAAGAGCTATTTGCCCTTGCCATGCTGAAAAACATTTGAAAACACACACACATATATATATATATACATATATACAGCACATACATTTGAACAGGTGTCTTTCTCTAAGAAGGGGTATCGTTTGTGAGGCCAAGGTTCCTTCCACCTCAGCGTTCGGGTCATTCGTGTTGGGAACATATGGAAATTTGTCAAGTGTATATAGAGATCCGTTAGCTAAGGATGCAGGTGAGGATGGTTTCACATTCCCGGAAGTTCTTGAAAAAGAGCTTTCCATCCGACGGAGCTATGAGGAATGCAGCGCTCGCTTATCATAAATCCTTGGTGCAAGCAATGAATAAGTTTGACACTCTGAAGGGTCAGGCTGGTGGACTTTAAAAACTGCATGCGCAGTAGGGCGTATATTGAATGTCCCAGCCTGTTTGTTGAAAGTATATAATTTTGCGCAGGTAGATCAGATCAAAGTATGTGCATATCTATTTATATATATATATGTATATAGACCTTTTGATCATGATGGCTTTTGTCAGGCCAGGACTACTTGGCTTCGTTCTATCGGAGGTATCTACTCTGCTTCAGTAACCTTGGCCAAGCAAAAGCAGCACTTGATGGCAAAGTTTGCAGACGGAGATATTTGCCATGCGGAAGAGGCAATTCTAGCATCTGTAGACATGTCAGCAGTGCTCTTTGGGCAGTCATCAGTTTCGGTGAATGGGAAAAAGTATGTGGCCAACTTTGATGCTGGCGAGGAAGTCATTTCCAAGCGCTTTGACACAGTGTTGGCTGTTCATGATTGGTTGCTGAGCATGAACCGCTCTTACAAAAGTGGGTCCTTACACCAAAGCATGCGCCAAGTTGAGCAGTCTGTAGCAGCAGGAGTAGCTTTGGAAAAAGCTGCTGGTCAGCTCAGTGAGACGCAGCAAAATCCATTACCAGAGCTTGTTGCCGGCTTGAGCAATGTGGATGTGACAGCAGAGTTTTTCCACAAGAAAAAAAGTATGGAAACAGACCTGCCCATGTCAGTACAATGCATCCACAGAGGCAGCTTGAACACAGTCACAACTTTAGCAAGCTCCCAGCGAGGTTTGTGCGCAGTTCTCTTGGGAAAGACTGCGTGGAACAAGAAATTCCATTGCGCACAAGTTGTCCTCTCTCCTTCCCACAGTCTGGAGGAATTGGTGGCACATGAGAAAATCACTTCTCGGTGTGAGCTTCAGGGTTTGAAATCCTGTGGTGGGATTGTGGTGTGGTCCAAGGATGATTGGAGTGATGAATCCAAGAGAGTAGCTGCTTTGAAATTGTTCCAGTCGGAGCATCCCTTCTTGGTGAACCTCGACTTTTCGACACGCCTTACCGGTGAACGAGAGTGTGTAGAGCTTCAGGAAGATGGAACCATCACACGTGTTGCTCTGTCATGGACGACTCAACCCAGAGAGACCACACAAAGACTGCTTTACAACACGTGCTTTTTGGAGGATTTGGCAACGTCTCACATTGCAGCTGCCACGGCTAAGATTGCAGAAGCTATAGTGCGGCATGTACGCAGCAAGGTCAGCGCACAACAAGCACGAACAGGACAAAATGAGACTCGGAAGTTGTTTCGCAAAGTGAATGTGATTGCAGACGGCAGATGTGGGTGGCACGCTATTCTGGCAGCAGCTGATGTGCAGCGGTATGAACGCACCCCACGAGATCCTACCTCTGCCTACCCCCTGAACCCTCGTATAGTTCAAGAGGAGGTTTTGCAGGCAGAACATTTTCAGTTGGAGGCATGCGGCAAGGCCCTTGATCAGCTGGATCCGTGCTTTCACTCCCGCATTGAGTCTGTGATCGAAAACCCAAGTTTTACACCACATGATCTGGAGTGGATTGCTCAAGCACTCGACGTTCAGATCCGCTGCACTTGTTGCAAGGAGGCCTGGTTTGCGTGTATACAAGAACATTAATTTTATCTAATATAGAAGTAGTTCTATGGACTTTCCTGGAAGAGAGTTGCATATAAAGATATATAGAGTAACCTGTTTGTATATTGGGGGTGCAAAGGCATGTTGGCATTGTTCTAAGTGTGCGTACGCCTTGCCCACAGGTTGGTGCTTTGTCGGATGGCACCAGCTTGGATGCTGTCTATGGTTGTTGCGAAAGCGGTCCTTTGATTCACTTGCTGTTCCACTTTGAGCAAGGTGCTGGCGACAAGTGTCAAAGTTTTGGTCACTACAGCCTTCTGGTACCTGCAAGCACGCCTTCCAAGCGCACCCTGATGCTTTTTGAGCGTGTTCCTTGACCAGCCATCGGTTTGTTTGTGTTGAAGCATGTTGCAAACCGAAACTATACTGTTTTATCTGGAGTTCAATCGACCTCGTCTCACCCTACTCTTAGTGTCTTCCTAGGTCATTATATATATATATATATTTATATATACACACTGGTATATATATATAGTGCAATATATGTACTGTATATCAATATCTTAGCAGTCTTAGAACAAATATATATATATAGAGAGAGATATATATATATAGTGGATTAAGATATATTATTTATATATGCATGTATAGATATGAAAACACCAGACCTGCTGACAAGGTAAGTGATGAGCGCAATGCTGAGTCCATCAAGTTCCTGCAGCTCATGGCAACGGGGGAACAAGCAACCTCAGCAACAAGCATGGGAGATGGAGAACTTTGTGAAGGAGCATCAACAAGCACCACAGGCCAGTCGGGAGAAGCAGCAAAAGTAGAGACAGCACGCGGCATCCAAGAAGTGCCACCAGAAGTAGCAAACAAGGCAGAAGCAGGAGCCAATGCACCAGCCAGTCACTTGGAAGCAGAGCCAAAGCCATCAACCAATCCGGCTGCAGCCGGTTCAGCAAACATAGCAAAAGCAGATTCAGGATTGCTATCGGAAAGCAAGGATCCACACTCCCTTGCAAGCACACAAGGAAATGCACAGCAAGCACTTAAAACTTCTCAGCAACGCAGGCAACGCAGGCTGCCTGCATCCTTTTCAGCAACCGAGCCAAACGTGGCTTTACAAAACAAGCAGGCGATGGAAGTTGCCCAGTTGAGCCCTTCTGCACCAGCAGCTTCAGCAGCAT